ACAAAAGAACTAACTAAATCTCTTTCATTCTCTTCTCTTTTCATTTTACTGTCTTCAACTGCATGACAAAAATCACAACCTTCTAATTCTACTGAGATTCTTTACAGGGACATCCAATCTTTTTTTCTTCTTACCATATACTGGAAAGAAGAAGGGTCATCCTGGGCCACACATTAAATATACAAACACTAATGAAAGCTGATGAGCAAAAAGAAAGCTCCCTTCCTAATTTTCACTACATCCAACACCACAGAGAAGCAAAACAGGTCTCATATAATCCATATGTGGCCTCCCCTGCAAGAAAGCACCTCAAGGGTGGCACCTGTGGCTCAAAGGAATAGGGTGCCGGCCCCATATGCTGCCCTGGCCAAAAACTGCCAAAAAAAAAAAAAGAAAGAAAGCAAGCAAGCAAGCACCTCTAAGAACCCAAATCAATATGATACTATTACCCTGTCTTTGCCATAAACCTGTCCTATGATTGATCTTAGTAAATGTTACTTGGCCACTTTGGGCCTAACTTTGGTTATCTGCAAAATAAGCAGAAACTCCAGAATTTCTTTAAAGATCTTTTTAACTCTAAAATTACATTTTCACTAGAAAAAAGTTTGTTTGTGTCTTTTTTTTTTTTTTTGAGACAGTCTCACTTTGTCACCCTCAGTAGAGTGCCATGGCTCACAGCAACCTCAAACTCTTGGGCTTGAGCAATCTGCTTGCCTCAGCCTCTTGAATAGCTGGGATTACAGGCATCCACCACCACACCTGGCTACTTTTTCTATTTTTAGGGGTCTCACTCTTACTCAGGCTGGTCTTGAACTCCTGAGCTCAAGCAATCCAGCCATCTCAGCGCCCTAAAGTGCTAGAATTATAGGCATGAGCCAACAGGACCCAGCCTGTTTCACTCTAGAAAACTTAAAGAAGACCAAATATCTCTAATTTTTTTTTTTGAGAGTTTCAATTTGTTGCCCTCCATAGAGCGGTGTGGCTTCACAGTTTATAACAACCTCCAACTCTTGGGCTTAAGCGATTCTCTTGCCTCAGACTCTCAAGTAGCTGGGACTACAGGCACCCACCACAACCCCTGGCTTTTTTTCCTTTTTTAAGAGACGAGGTCTGGCTCTTGCTCAGGCTGGTCTCCAACGCCTGAGCTCAGGCAATCCAGTCACCTTGGCCTCTTAGAGTACTAGGATTACAGGTGTGAGCCACTGTGCTTGGCCTGAATGTTTTAACCAAGATTTTACTTGCCTTTAAGCTCTCTTTACATGTATACAGAATTTGAACATTGCTGCCATAATAATAAAGTACTGAATTTATAAAATTTGCCCATAACTAAGGTTCCAATTAAAAACTTATCAGAATTTCAAAAATACTTAAATGCAGCAGAACTTCTGTAAATTCTATTGTACCACCAAAGGAATTTTAACAAACTGGTCAACTTGTGGATGTACAGATATGTACATGTGGTACGTGTTTGGTCTATTAAAATGTCAACTTGGCTTGGCGCCTGTGGCTCAAGTGGCTAAGGCGCTAGCCACATACACCTAAGGTGGTGGGTTCGAATTCAGCCCGGGCCCACCAAACAACAATCATGGCTGCAACCAAAAAATAGCCAGGCATTGTGGTGGG